TTGGAATGCTGTGCCGGGAGCGTGCGCGTTTGGCGCTAGAAGGCTTGCCGACGCCAACCGGGTACCGGTTTTTGATATCGTGGCATCACCGGCTGCCTTAAGGCTTGGGGGTCTTCAGCAATGGAACCCCTGCATAGCTATCAATTTTGCCACGACTAACCTTTGAGTCGGGTTCCAGATTCCTGTCTTACTTTTGGGTTCGTGTTCAGAGCACGCAGACTTCACAAGTTGGCCAAGTGGGACTCCATCAATTGGCAGCCTCGGCTGCGCACGCCGGGCTGCCTGTCACGAAACGCCTGGGCCAACAATTGGCCTTGAAACATGTAGTGTTCATGTTTACAGCAACCCCCCAACCACTGCTTTTTGGACACCTCATAAACAGCAGTTGTTGGGGTCTGGTTGTTTTAGAGGCGAATATTATATGACAGGTGCCAAAAAGGGGCCTTTTCTGCACCGAGCGATTCCTGCTATGACAAAATAAGAAGCGCAGCACCCAATAACTGCTTGCGTCCAAGTACTGCCCAGAAATCACTGGTTGGGGGATGCTAGTACTTGGGTTACCACCCAACTAGCTGAACCGCGAATAAGTGGGGCCAACAAGTCTGCAGCTTTTCTGTACCATCAAACTGGCCCAAACCCAAAAAGTTGTTCAGGGCTAATGTCGCAGTGGCCTAAAGAGTGATTACGCCATGATGAAACACAGTTTCAGGACAAACGGCCATTTTACAGGCGATCCGTGGAGAGCCATTTGTTGCTACATGTTGCTACATTCAGGAGTCACAGTCCTCATTGTTTTGATTAGGATGTCCTTGTTTTGGTTTCCAGCAGGGAATGAGGGAGTGACCCCGAAAAAACAATCCTGTATGTTTTTTTCCCCTGGGTCGTTTTCTGTTGTTGCGGCTTGCAGTATTAAGCATCGAAAAATGTTCATTTGAGCAAGGCCTTCAGGGCACGTCCGATGCAAAAACAAACCACGTTCGGAATCCTTGTCTATCAGTTGGCCACCCGTGTCTCATTTGGCCAGGATCCATGGTCACGCTCATTCTGTCCGTGTACGAGCGCAAGGTGGGGGCCATAATCCGAGACTCAAGTGAGGTATGGTTGGTTCCCCCAAAGACCCCTCTGAAAAGAAGTTGTCCTAAAAGGGCAACATTGGCTGCTTGTCAGGCTTGTTTTCTTCATTGCCACCATATTGCCCTAAAAAGGATGGACAGTTCTAAGTTTTCCAAGTCCATTTGCAACCCGGTCATCAGGCGCACTGTCTCCAAAAAGCCTGGAAGTGATGGGCTGACAATCCATAGGTGCTGAGCCTCTTCTGAGTGGTCACTCCCGGTCTAGCCAAAACTTTGCGGAGAAATTCTGAGCATGCAGCTTGGTGAGCCAATCCAAGGGAACTCGAAACATGTTGACAAGTGTGGGCTTCAGAAGGTTTGTTTTAGAATAATTCGCACCTGCTTGTTTTCTTTGTTTTGCCCAAGATGCGATTCCAATTTACGAAAAATTTGACGTGTGACATGAGATATGTAGAGGAAACCATGGTTTGGAGGGTTCCTTTTGGTTGTTAAACATGGCTAGCTGGAAATCCCTCGAGATTTGAAGGCCAAGAGGCACGACTCCCATGACATCCATACCCCGCATCCTTCACAACTGAAGAAACTCACATGGAACAGAGAAGAGTATGCGTGGTTTTTTGTTTGAGGGTACCCCTTTTCGGTCATTTTATCCAAAGGGAAACCAAAAGAAGACCCGTTGCGCCATTTTGGGGAGGTCCCCTAAAAAAGGACACGCCCCTTCAGATTGTTGTGGAGGCATTTGCGTTTTTCGCCAGGGTCCGGTTCGGTCGGGAGATGATCTCTTGCGGTCTTGCGCCTGTTCACCGCACTTCCCTTCCGACGGTTGCGTGTTCAAAATGGAGGGTTGCCTCTGGTGAACCCAACGTGATGGGTGAAGGCATGACCTTCATTTCCGGGGGCCCTGGAATACCAACCCTCCCAAGCCCTGAACCTTCGGCCAAGAACCTTCCCCTTTGTGAGGAGTTCCTTGTTTTGAAATGTTTGGTCGAAACAAGACGAAGCTTCGGGTTTGGGTGGTAGGTGTGCACTCTCGAGCAGCGCAACTGGCTGGTGGTGTGCCTTGGCAGCAGCTGGAAGCTGCCCCCCTCCCCCCCGCCCCCAAAAGGTACAGGGGTTCTTACCGCTGGCCATCTCAGCCTTTCGTGCGGACCGTTTTGTTGTTTTTTTACCCTCCCTGGGGGTGTTCCTCGCCCCAAAAACACAATTCCCCTATGCCCACCACAAGCAGCTTTTGCGCGTTGCGGTGAAAGGCGACGAAGCTCTTTGGGCGCCAAGTAGATGGAGACCTCACAGATGCGGTCGATTGAAGTTTCGTCGTGGTGTTTTGGCTGATTTTCTCTTTCGGACTTGGGTAGATATTGTTAGTGACTGGCACGTCAAGCAGATGGTGGATGAGGGAGTGGTCACCCCAGTAAGCAACTGCGAGATGGATTGACCTTGGCCTAGGCAAACACGAGGGGATGGTTTGTTCCTCATTTGTTTTACAGACCCTTGTAAAATGAAAAAAGATTTGTCTTTTCCACATGATGTGTCCTTGTTTTGGTTGGTGTGTTTTAAAAATAGAGGGCCCTGGTTTACCTGGTGGTCAATTGTCTACTAGGTCCAGCCTTTTTCCAAAAAGGACACATGTTTTAGATCCTAGAGAAAAGTGCTATTCGCTTCTTCTCGAAGCTTTCAGAGTCCCAATCTGGCTGGACTTCAGAGTCCTAATCCTGTTTGGTTAAAAATATTTGGAGCCCCAAAACGGACGCCTCCGCTTCTCCTTGGGCGGGCTGCTCACCGTGGCTGGCTATTTGGCCATGGGCTGGAGATCTTTTTCTGAAGCTGACTCCCGTGTGCGGGTGTCACCACGGTACCATTTACAGCTTTGACACGAGCAAAGTGTTTTCCCCTCAGAGGGAATGCAGCTTTGACAAGGGCAAAGTGTTTTCCACTGAGAGTGGATCGTCCGCGATCTTAACCCCGAAGGAGCCCTCTGTGGTTGCTTATCGGATAAGCAGGCTTATCCCGCAAGTCCCATGGAGCGGTCGAGGGAGGGCGCTTGCTACGACAGAAAGTGTCAAATTTCGGCTCCTTGAATGCGTTGGCACAATTAGCCTGTCATGGTCCAAGATGTTCTGATTGATCTGATGTTTTACCATTTGAAACAAAGCGTCATCCAGACCGCGGATACCGAGTCATGACCAGGAGAATTTGACAGAAACCGGGGGGAGAACGCACGGCTTGAGGCTGCTGGGGTTTCTCAACTTCTTGTTCATCGGGCTGCAGGCGCCGACGCACGGCTGGCAACTGCTGCTCACTGAGAGAAAGCGTAGGGCCTCAAATCCTGGCCCTTGATACTGCTCCCCCACCGTATGATTGTGTGAAGCGCATATGTTGCGTCAGTCACCATCTGGGTTTACTCAGGTCTCGCCTCGCGTGGGACCGTGGAAGGGGGAGGATGGGGGGGACCTGAGTTGGCCAGGCGAAGCTTCTGGTTCCACAGTGGTTCCAGGGCGACTGGATGGTGATGCTGACGCTGAATCCCCCCAGCTGAGCCGACCTTGGCGGGGGGTCACGGGGTCGTCTGTGCATTCAATCCTGGTGTCGTCTGTGCATTCAATCCTGGGGTCGTTTGTGCATTCATTGTTTTTTGGGCTCACATGGCATGATAACGGACTTGATGTGTGGTCACATGTGTCGTGATAAGTGTGCATGCTTCTTGGAACGTGTTCTTTGTCGGCGGTTAGCCAGAGGTCCACCCAATGTTCAAATGTCGTTTTGAGGAGAAACAACATGTCCGTGGCTCAAATCAAGCCAATAACTTGCTGCCCTGTGGACCATGTCTGAAGGAAATCTTCACACTTGAACATGTGTGTTCTAATGGGATTCGGTGTGGTCAGTCAGTGGTGCCAGATGTCCCCTCCATCGACTTTAATCCTAAAGCCAAACCCAAAAGCCTAAAACCTACAGTAACCTAAAACCTAAAGTGATGCAAGCCAAACCCAAGAGCCTAAACCCTAAGCCCAAATCCAGAACCCTAAGACCTACAGTGATACGAGCCAAGGCCAAAAGCCTAAATCCTAAAGCCAAACCCAAAAGCCTAAAACCTACAGTAACCTAAAACCTAAAGTGATGCAAGCCAAACCCAAGAGCCTAAACCCTAAGCCCAAATCCAGAACCCTAAAACCTACAGTGATGCGAGCCAAGACCAAAAGCCTAAATCCTAAAGCCAAACCCAAAAGCCTAAAACCTACAGTAACCTAAAACCTAGAGTGATGTGAGCCAAACCCAAAAGCCTAAACCTTAAACCCAAACCCAGAACCCTAAAACGTACAGTAACCTAAAACCTAAAGTGATGCAAGCCAAACCCAAGAGCCTAAACCCTAAGCCCAAATCCACAACCCTAAAGCCTACAGTAACCTAAAACCTAAAGTGATGCGAGCCAAGCCCAAGGCTTTGGGTTTGGCTTTAGGATTTAGGCTTTTGTGCTTGGCTCGCATCACTTTAGGTTTTAGGCTACTGTAGGGTTTAGGCTTTTGGGTTTGGTTTTAGGATTTAGGCTTTAAAGCCAAACCCAAAAGCCTAAAACCTACAGTAACCTAAAACCTAAAGTGATGCAAGCCAAACCCAAGAGCCTAAACCCTAAGCCCAAATCCAGAACCCTAAAACCTACAGTGATGCGAGCCAAGACCAAAAGCCTAAATCCTAAAGCCAAACCCAAAAGCCTAAAACCTACAGTAACCTAAAACCTAGAGTGATGTGAGCCAAACCCAAAAGCCTAAACCCAAACCCAGAACCCTAAAACGTACAGTAACCTAAAACCTAAAGTGATGCAAGCCAAACCCAAGAGCCTAAACCCTAAGCCCAAATCCACAACCCTAAAGCCTACAGTAACCTAAAACCTAAAGTGATGCGAGCCAAGCCCAAAAGCCTAAATCCTAAAACCAAACCCAAAAGCCTAAACCCTACAGTAGCCTAAAACCTAAAGTGATGCGAGCCAAGCCCAAAAGCCTAAATCCTAAAGCCAAACCCAAAAGCCTAAACCCAAAACCCAAAACCTAGAGTGATGTGAGCCAAACCCAAAAGCCTAAACCTTAAAACCAAACCCAGAACCCTAAAACGTACAGTAACCTAAAACCTAAAGTGATGCAAGCCAAACCCAAGAGCCTAAACCCTAAACCCAAATCCACAACCCTAAAGCCTACAGTAACCTAAAACCTAAAGTGATGCGAGCCAAGCCCAAGAGCCTAAAAGCCTAAACCCAAAACCCAAAACCTAGAGTGATGTGAGCCAAACCCAAAAGCCTAAACCTTAAACCCAAACCCAGAACCCTAAAACGTACGGTAACCTAAAACCTAAAGTGATGCAAGCCAAACCCAAGAGCCTAAACCCTAAACCCAAATCCACAACCCTAAAGCCTACAGTAACCTAAAACCTAAAGTGATGCGAGCCAAGCCCAAGAGCCTAAATCCTAAAACCAAACCCAAAAGCCTAAACCCTACAGTAACCTAAAACCTAAAGTGATGCGAGCCAAGCCCAAAAGCCTAAATCCTAAAGCCAAACCCAAAAGCCTAAAACCCAGTAACCTAAAACCTAGAGTGATGTGAGCCAAACCCAAAAGCCTAAACCTTAAACCCAAACCCAGAACCCTAAAACGTACGGTAACCTAAAACCTAAAGTGATGCAAGCCAAACCCAAGAGCCTAAACAGTGATACGAGCCAAGGCCAAAAGCCTAAATCCTAAAGCCAAACCCAAAAGCCTAAAACCTACAGTAACCTAAAACCTAAATAAACCCTAAGCCCAAATCCAGAACCCTAAAACCTACAGTGATGCGAGCCAAGACCAAAAGCCTAAATCCTAAAGCCAAACCCAAAAGCCTAACACCTACAGTAACCTAAAACCTAGAGTGATGTGAGCCAAACCCAAAAGCCTAAACCTTAAACCCAAACCCAGAACCCTAAAACGTACAGTAACCTAAAACCTAAAGTGATGCAAGCCAAACCCAAGAGCCTAAACCCTAAGCCCAAATCCACAACCCTAAGCCCTAAACCCTAAACCCTAAAGCCTAAATCCTAAAGCCAAACCCAAAGCCAAACCCAAAAGCCTAAACCCCAAACCCAAAAACCTAAAGTGATGTAAGCCAACCCCAAACCCAAACCCCACCCCCCAAACCCTCTGCTGTGGTGGGCACTTCCGGGATTGAATGCGCGAATGACTCCAAGATTGCGTGCGCAGATGACCCTGCGGGATTGAATGCGCGAATGACTCCAAGATTGAATGCGCGGATGACCCCACCACCTTGGCGGGGGACTGGCGAAAGCTGAGGGACAAGACTGGTTTGGTTTTAGCTCAACGGACTCACAGGACAACGCGGCTGGCTTTTCTTTGGCGGGTGGTTGCCACAAGCTGGACGAATTCATTTCCGGCGAAGCATGGGGCAATTCGACGCCCCTGGCTTTCCTGCACCAAAGTTTGGGGAAGCTGGTGGAAGTGCCTTCCTCGGAAGGCCAGCATTTGGTTTCTCTTTGAAGGTTAAAACTGGCTGGGGGTGAAACACAAGGCACTTGCTCAGAAGTGTTTGGTCCCTGACATTTCTGCCTGGGAGAAGTTGCAAATTGTGCAAAACACGTCAGGAAAGCCGGCGAAGCCGGGGGGTCGGAAGTTTGCAGCGCGCGTTTTTTCCCCGTCTCTCGTTCTCTTAGTCATTTTGTTTCCTCTCGTTCTTGTTCTCCTTTTTTTCTTTGTTGCTTCTTTCTCCATGCTCTTTTCTCAAGTTTTCCCTTGTTTGTTTGAAAGGAATCTATCACTACTGGGAATATGCTCATTTTTCCAGTGGGCTTAAGCAAATGGAAGTGTCCCTTTCTCTTCTCTCTTGTCGCTCTGAACCAGTGCGCGCGGCCGTGCCAACGGTCCCGTCTCCGCGCCCGTCAGGAGTTGCGACGTGGGTGGTTTTCCGAATTCACACGGAAGAGTCGCATTCACGCACAATGCGACCCGCTTTGTAATTGTTTAGCGCATTGAGTTGAAAGATGACACACAGGCACCGCGCGTTCGTAGAGCGAGCTAGCTCAGTACTATGGAAGTTCTCTTCCAAATTTATTTGGACAAAGTACAACCAAATATCTGAATAGAGTTTACCCCACCACAACGCAAAGGCTTTGTTGTTCCCACTTGTCTGCAACAGTCTCCTCCACTAAAGCATGCCTAGAGTTCGTGTATCATCCTTCGCCCAGGACACCTTCTAAAAATTGTTTGCAGAAAATATATTTGATTGTATTTAATTCTACGAATGATGAATATAGATGGATATTGTTTTTTGTTTATTGGTAAACTGATAAAATCGGTTTGTTAATTCGATATTGTAAAATATATATTATTATTTGTATTATTGAATTAAAAATATATAATTAACAATTTTATGAATATGAAAGTATAATGTTATTTAATTTGAATAAAATATATATATATATGTATATATTAAATTTAAGGTGAATTTATAAATATTTATAAATAGGTATGAATTTGGGATTGTATTTGTGTATATTGTAGAATTGTTAGGTATTTTGGTCGAATTATTGTGTTTGTGGTGAATGGTTTTGTTCTATTTATTTATTCAATTATTTTATGATATATTTTTTGTTATTTAGTACGGATTGGAATTTGATTTTATTTATTTGGTTTGTAATATTTTGAGGTGGTGTTTTTGTGATATATTGTTATTATTTTGTGAATTTTGGATTATTTTTGGTAATGTGATTATTGTTTAATTCGATTTTTTAAAAAATGAAATGGTTTTGTGTTTTTTATATATATATTATTGTTATTGTATATTATATATATATATTTATGTTTTATTTTTGAATTATATATAATTTGTTTTATTTTTTTATGATTGGCATTTACATATTTATTTGTTATTAGAAATAATTTATATATTTGTTGGAAAGAATTAAATAAATAACAATAAATAAAAACATAATAGATAATTGGAAGATATAAATTAATACGGATATTAGTGGGGGCTCGTCGCTTTTTAGTAGCGTGCGAGATGAAGCTTATGGTAGGAAAATAATAGAATTGGAGTATAAAATTAAAAAAGATAGGTGTTGAGAATTTTTTGAATTCGGATAGTTATTTTTATAATAAGTATGTTTAAATTAAGATATGGTTTTTCGTTGCGAAATTTCGTTATTTGGTTTTTGTTCGGATAAAGTCGGTATTACGAAACGGTCGGAATCCCAAATGAGAAAAGGAGCCTTAATCACGATTAACGAACGATTATGAATTTTGGATTATATATCTCTCTACCTAATCGTTGTTATGCTTAGTAGGTGTAGCACGAAGTTGGGTTTGTAACAACGTGTATGTAGTCGGGCCTCTAGTAAATACGCCGAATGTAATTGATTTACTTAAGAATAAATTTAGCGGCACGACCTTTTACGACTAACATAACAAGACAACAATACAGCTATCACAAATATACAGTATCGTATTCGAGCTGAGCCTTTGTCGTGTCTTGGTTACACCATTGTGAAATTTCCGACTCTACAATTTCATCATCCCTATCTCTATCTGCTGAACTCCGGATAATCTTACACTGAAGGGCATAATGGGCGAGGGCCCTGCGTAAATCTTGTATTGCAGTGGCATGAAATACGAAATAATACAGCCGAGTCCTGGAGGTCCGAAACTCTAAAGAGCGTTGTTGTAAGATTACTATGAATCGATTGTATGCTGTGCTATACGGCCTACTATTCCGCCTCTTCGCGACATTGGTCGGCATTTGATGATGCGGCAGGTCGTTTTATGATTAAGTATGCCAAGTAGCCGAAACCATAGGAGTATATCTCTTTATAATATACTTTAGAGCCTCCGGCTCAGTCCGCCGACATTGTCCTCTCCCTTTTCTCCTTCTTCCTCTCTCCCTTGTCTCCCTGGTGTGTTCTGTCGTCCTCTCTCCCTCCCTCCGCTCCCCATCCTCCCCATCCCCCCAAGCCACTCTCTCCCCAATCTCCTCTCTGTATGTATGTATGTATGTATGTATGTATGTATGTATGTATGTATGTATGTATGTATGTATGTATGTATGTATGTATGTATGTATGTATGTATGTATGTATGTATGTATGTATGTATGTATGTATGTATGTATGTATGTATGTATGTATGTATGTATGTATGTATGTATGTATGTATGTATGTATGTATGTATGTATGTATGTATGTATGTGTATGTGTATGTATGTATGTATGTATGTATGTATGTATGTATGTATGTATGTATGTATGTATGTATGTATGTATGTATGTATGTATGTATGTATGTATGTATGTATGTATGTATGTATGTATGTATGTATGTATGTATGTATGTATGTATGTATGTATGTATGTATGTATGTATGTATGTATGTATGTATGTATGTATGTATGTATGTATGTATGTATGTATTGTATGTGTGTATGTAATGTATGTATGTATGTATGTATGTATGTATGTATGTATGTATGTATGTATGTATGTATGTATGTATGTATGTAATGTATGTATGTATGTATGTATGTATGTATGTATGTATGTATGTATGTATGTATGTATGTAATGTATGTATGTATGTATGTATGTATGTATGTATGTATGTATGTATGTATGTATGTATGTATGTATGTATGTATGTATGTATGTATGTATGTATGTATGTATGTATGTATGTATGTATGTATGTATGTATGTATGTATGTATGTATGTATGTATGTAATGTATGTATGTATGTATGTATGTATGTATGTATGTATGTATGTATGTATGTATGTATGTATGTATGTATGTATGTATGTATGTATGTATGTATGTATGTATGTATGTATGTATGTATGTATGTATGTATGTATGTATGTATGTATGTATGTATGTATGTATGTATGTATGTATGTATGTATGTATGTATGTATGTATGTATGTATGTATGTATGTATGTATGTATGTATGTATGTATGTATGTATGTATGTATGTATGTATGTATGTATGTATGTATGTATGTATGTATGTATGTATGTATGTATGTATGTATGTATGTATGTATGTATGTATGCTGTGTGTATGTATGTATGTATGTATGTATGTATGTATGTATGTATGTATGTATGTATGTATGTATGTATGTATGTATGTATGTATGTATGTATGTATGTATGTATGTATGTATGTATGTATGTATGTATGTATGTATGTATGTATGTATGTATGTATGTATGTATGTATGTATGTATGTAATGTATGTATGTATGTATGTATGTATGTATGTATGTATGTAATGTATGTATGTATGTATGTATGTGTATGTATGTATGTATGTAATGTATGTATGTATGTATGTATGTATGTATGTATGTATGTATGTATGTATGTATGTATGTTATGTATGTATGTATGTATGTATGTATGAATGAATGAATGAATGAAATGTATGTATGTATGTATGTATGTATGTAATGTATGTATGTAATGTAATGTAATGTAATGTAATGTAATGTAATGTATGTATGTATGCATGTATGTATGTATGTATGTAATGTAGTGTAATATAATGTAATGTAATGTAATGTAATGTATGTATGTATGCATGTATGTATGTATGTAATGTAATGTAATGTATGTATGGTAGGTAGGTAGATAGGTAGGTAGATAGGTATGTATGCTTGCATGAATGTATGTATGTAATGATGCATGTATGTATGTATGTAATGTATGTATGTAATGTAATGTAATGTACTGTACTGTACTGTACTGTACTGTATGTATGTAATGTAATGTAATGTAATGTATGTATGTGTATATGTTTGTATGTATGTATGTATATATATGTCGTTGCACTTTCCCTGTGCTCCCCAGTATTTCCCGTAAAAAAAACACTGTTTTTCTAGCGTTTTCGAAAATATACCTTGCCGATGCAGGCTCTACAATATTTTCTCTATTCCTGGCATATCCACCACGGCTTAGACCTTAGTCCCTAAGAGCTCGGCTCGTACAATATTCTATTAGATGTTCAAGATATTGTTTAATCGCCAGCCGAGCCTTTTCATAAATCCGTATCAAGTATAGAAAATGCCGGCGGAGCTGCAGGCAAAGCCAAAAGCCAATCCGGCGGGCTATGGCTTATCTTAGGCTTATGTTGGGATATTTTGGCGGATTCTACACACACGGTCGGGCGATCTAGGCTTTTACGGGTGCGCTAAGAGACAAGATGTCCGCCGATATTGCACGGCGTATCGGACACCCAAGAGAGGATAGAGGATAACCCCCCCCCTAACCCCCCCACCCGACGTTTAATAAGGACCGCGCGACAATTTAATAACGTTCCACTAAACGTAGTCTTCGGGGACCCGGTGTCGCAAAATAGGGATCCCAGGCTCGATTACCCCCTACCGGCTTTTTTGCTGGCTTGGACTTCCTACATCCTTTTACCGAAAATCTG